ATCGTTAGTCGATCGATAAGATCAATCAACTTTAGATTAATTCATTAATCGATAACTTGCATCCCTAGTTAGAACTAATCGTGGATCCCTTTAATGATAAATCGACCTGTCAGAGCTTCCTGTACACCATGTTTTCATCCACAGGTGAACAAACGGCCACGCTCTGCTCTCACCTGTGAGGGATGGACAGYCCTCCRTCCACGGCCCCCTTCAGAGCTCCAAACACTTTGTTCCCCGTTGTGGTTCTGGTCAAACCTGCATCCAGGTAACAGGTGAAGGCACCGGGCTGCCCGTCCACGCTCTCCACATTGAACTCGTCTCCAGTCACCTCCACCTGACCCTCGTACACCTGCTCCATGCCGAACTTGTGCAGCAGCTACAAAGAGAGAAAACGTTRGTTTCRCAGGACTCACAGAGGAGCTCAGAGTGTCAAACTGCAGCGTTTACCCTGCGAGCCAGCAGCAGCCCGGTGCAGTAAGCTGCAGCGTAGTTCGTCAGGCCGACAGCTATCCCGAACTGAGGCAGCTCATGGGAGTAAGCAGCACACACAATGTGGTCTCCTTCAATCTTTGAATAGGCCACCTACACAACAGGGAGACAGGATCAGGACCTGTGGGGACACGGGACCTCTGAAGTCTTTGCTGCACTCACCTGGCAGCAGATGTCTCTGTTGGACAGGCGGACAATCAGTCGGTACTTGGGGGTGTTGTACTTGTTTTTGTCCTGAACAACAAGGCGTTTGCGAGCAAAGAAATCCGTTTTCCCCTCTGCAGGTTAAATAATTAAATCAGGTTATCACAACAACAACAAAAAAAACACTAATTTATGGAGGATTTCACATGAATCACACTGAAAACATACAAATACCTCTTCTTCTCCTGAATTTGACTTCATATCTCTTGAAGTAAGCCTTGTTTTTTACCACCTTAACAAAACCCTGAAAAATAAACACAAACATGAAGATAAACAAACCCACACACGGTGTCAGAATCTGTAAATCCAGTTTGAAGCCTTGGAGTTGATCAGGGAGGCCAGTCAAACTTCCGGCAGCCATGACCGGCCACGCTGGAGCAGAGCGGCTCACCTCACCACAACAAGCCGACATCGGCTAACATCCGGCCCCATCCGGGCCTGAGGCGGCTCGGTGTACCCCTCCATCCCCGGACACAGCTCCACACAGTAAAACTAAACAAGTATGAGCCGAAAACTCACCATTTTCACGTTAATCCCACTMCTCTTCTGTACTACTGCAGACCAGGTCCTACTTCCGGTTTTCTGACGTCACTTCCTGTTTGCTAACAGTAAACGCAGCGCCCCCTGCTGTACAGAGGACTCACACACACATAAACACCGACAGAGGGCAGAAACGAGTCTCTTTTTACACTGTTTCAACTTTAAAATAATTCATCATCCCATGTTTTTATTTATTTGTTTTCTGCAGTAATTTATGCTGCAGAAAAATATATTTTTGGGTATTAAAAAATAAACAAAGCAGGTTTATCMAACAGGTGAAGGAAATAAAGCAACTTTGCCATTATTTTACTGCAGTCAACTCTGTTAGCAAAATATCCCAAAAACTACAATATGAAAACATATTTAATAGTAATTATTAGACTRACTCCTACAAGAAGCTGTAGATGCATGATTAATTTTTGAGACATTTATTGAAACCCATCCAGTTCATCAGATATTTTGCTAACAGACAGGGTAGACTCCAACAGATGGCACTTTGTGTGTTGCAAATGTTAGCTATTAGCTAAATATCTGTAARTAACAACCATGATCAGCTGGCTGTGGTAAAAGTTTTAAAATGTTGACTTTTTTCTGTCCAGCAGTTCATGAGATATTTTGCTAAAATACAAACAGAGTTGACTCCAGTCGTTAACGCCGACATCTTAAACACAGAATTAGGGAATAAATTAGATTCACACTGTAAACTGAGGATCAGTCTCCAAATGCATAAAATTCTAATACATCATTTGTAACATGAACAGAGTTGGAGCCAAAGTTTGTGTGTTGATTAAACGCAGCGTCCATCTTCATTTGGGCTGATTTAAAAAAAGTATTCATTTATAGATATCAGCACAATAATTACTTTCTCAAAGGTCCATTAAAACGAGCGGTGCAGGAGAGTTTTGCCAACAGAGAAACAAGATGAACTCCAACAGTTAAAGTTTTAAATTAAGATTTTTTGTGAGACGCGTGCGCGCATGCACACACACACACACACACACACACACACACACACACACACACA